TTTGCCTGTACTGGGGGATCATAAGCTTCTTCGTTTTCCAAGTTTGTTTCTGTATGGTCATGGATTGGTTCCTCTGCTGTAGTAGTAGTATCATTAATGGCATTAAAATGTTGAAATTTCTCACACTGGGCTCCTTTGGAATGGTCCTCCTGGGTCTGGGGCTGGAATTCTCCAAAAACAAGGTATTGTACGATAAGGGGTGCCGCTCCGTTGGAAGTTCCGGTCGCCGACTGCAGAAACATTAGCTTCCTCTACGATTGAAGACATCAAACTTACCGTTTGCTTGTAATGTTTATCATAAACTGCCCACCATCTCCCGGTCATCTGATGGTAAGGAGTGGCTCCGACACTGGCTTGTCTTCCAACTTTCCATGGCTTATCCGTTCCGATAAAGTGGGCGGCACTGATGCTGGATTGGAAATGTTGAAATGCTGGGAGATATTGGTAATGAGCGGATGGGGTGACATTGTAAGTAAAGCTTAGACGGTTGTAAGTATTCTTGAAATGCATGTTGAGTAAACCTTGATCAGCTCCATCAAAAGAGATTCCTCTGTTTGCCATAGCCTCCAACGCATAGTAGTCGCCCATATTTGGATCTAAAACCATAAGACCAGTGTTGAAGATGTCTGGCCATCCGATATCTGGTGAGGCGGAAAATGGATTTGGTAGAGCAAACAACTCATCTGGTGCACGAAGAGCAACCATATCGGCATCCATGTAAACTATTCTTCGGAATTGTGTTTGTTTCCATAGTGTAATTTTGGTGAAAGTAGAGTGAAGATCAGGGCGGCCCATGAGGTCAAGGTTGGCTGGGGATTGGTTGACAACTCGATCGACGGGAATAACATAGTCGAAGTTTCTCTGGAATGATATGTTAGTTTGATTCCCAGGTTGTCCAAAAGTAGAGTACTTACCTGAAGTTCAGTCATACTCTCAGAGGTCACTGAATCCACCGTGACAAGCACTGCGATCTTCTTGGTAGTACCGGCATCTCGTAGAGAATGTGCCAATACAAGAGCACCTGGATTGCAAGATGAGTTAATGATCTCAAATAGATTTAGTATGATAAAACAAACCTGGCAGGTAGGTGTCGGTCAAGAGAAGCTATTGCAAAGTTGTCAGTTCAAGTCATCCCATTCTTGTCGAGTTATGGTGATAACTTACAGTTGCATAAACATCTTCTGGTTGGGAAGCCATTGTTTGTTTAAAAATGAGAGGACTGTATTTTGATGTATAAGACAAAGAAGTCCTTGAATATTCGAACAGACTACTACAAACAAAACGTCTACCAAAGTTGTAGAGGTAATGTGTGTAGGTAGGTAGATATAGAAGAAAGTCGGGGGAGGAGAAATAATTTGGAGAGATATGCGATGGATATTCTAAATAAATGGAAGTAAGCTATCAAGGCCCGAAAGAGGTTAGTGGAGATTGATTATGACGGTATGGTATGGTCATTCGGTTAAATAAATCAAAAAAGATGGTGGAAATGCTGGGGGAGGGGAAGAATGGGCGGTGGATGTGGATTAGATTGTGTGGATGTATATGGATGTATGGATGTATGGATGGATGGTATGGATGTATGAATAATGTATGGATGGATTGGTCCTTTTGTTTGGTGGGAAATGAATTGACAGGGAATTTGCTGGCGGTAAGAGGTATCAAGTTCGGAGGAGTATGAAGGGAAGCATGAAAGTAAGGAATATGAACGGGATATACAGTACGGTATGGTTAATTATTCGCAAGACGGTGAAGGAGCTTGGGATCTAGAAAAGACAAGATGAAGGGGGAGGGAGAGAGGAAAGAAATATATTGATATATACCAGTGCTAGGTATTCGTATTCACATTCATCCACGGATATTCATACTAGGTAGGTATTGATATTGATATTGATATTGATATTGATATTGATATTGATATTGATATTGATATTGATATTGATATTGATATTGATATTGATATTGATATTGATATTCACATTCACATTCGCTCACATTCGCTCACATTCACAAAAAGATACCCCTCTCTCAACCCCTCCATAATATTCATTCCAATCACTCCATTCATTCAACTCTTATAAGAACCCAACAACCCAAAAACCCAAAAACCCAAAAAACCCAAACATGGGAGAAGGTATAGAATGCCATTTGTCAAAGATAAGACGACATTGACTCTTCTTCATTACAGTAACATTGTGTGAATCTTTGATCACGAACACCAAGCTGCCACGTACGTCCTCTTTCGCCTCCTTCATCAGACTAGTTTGGATATCTTTTATGAACTTCTTTCTACGGAGTAGATAGATTCTCCATACTCAATCCTCCACAGCTGGCTGGCTCGGCCGGTTACCTAGTCTGGTGGTCGTTAAACCATCTCTGCGTTGGACGGTTGGAGATGAATGTTCCACCAAGATGCGTTGAGATGGAGACACCACACCACACCACCACACACACAACTCCAGATCCATTTTTTACCACCCGCATTTGAACCCTGTTTGCCTCCATGTACCATTCATTTTCCAAGATTCCCATGAATCCCATCCTATACGGAACCTCGGGGGTAATGAATGCTATTTACCCCACTGTCTATCAACTTATCTTCCTTTTTTTACGAGATTGTCAAGAATGGATCAAAAAGATAGTCAGTCTTCTGATAACTTTTCATACCAATAGATGAGGAATGTTGTTCTAAATCTACCAAGACTTCATCACGATGGAGAACTTTTTCTCGAGTTATCTAAACGCCTTCATCAATTTCGTTCATGCATTTATTCATGTATGTCTCAAATTTCAAGCCCAATTCAAACGCATTTCAACGCCTTATCTGCAGGTCAATTTCTGAGTGGCGTAACTTTACCACCCTTCATAATTGTATGGACAAGGGCCAGGTATTCTCAAGCCGTTCTATGCACACTGCACTGCAATGCTCACCGACAGCTACTAGTTCATGTATCGGGTATCCACTACGAACATGAAAACGCACAGAAAAATATCAAGGAAACTTAGCTTATTCAAACTTCTAGTATTCTCCAATATGAAGCGATATCTTCATCTTCGTGTCGTTTTAGAACGAACGAGAGGGGTCCAAGTGGACGTTTTCTTTCTGTTTGTTGAACCCATTCTTACTCACAGATGTATGTATGCGTAGTTGGCATCCTGCATACCTTATGTACAGTGCAGATAGTAAGACTTACATCGATAAATTTATGTACGGAGGGTTGTCTATAGTTGTGGCAGCCTCCTGTTCGATTGAAAATATAAATATATCACCATATGCTCCGCTTCTTCCTCAGAGATTTTTCAAGAAGCTTGAGCACAGGCTGTCTTTCTTACTTTGGACCCGATTATCTGTTATGCATTTAGATAGAAGTAGTATGTACGAAGCTCAGACTTGTATGTCTCTACTGCCTATGGAAAATCATTGCGAGGAAATCATTTAGCTCGAACATTTGTTCTAGATCCATTTTGAGTACCCTTCTAAATGAGGGGTCTGCCTGCGATATTCATTCGTCCAGTTGTCAAAAGAACTTCAACATTGGGCAACATTGGGTAGAATCATATATAATGTATCGTTTTCAGAATACCTGATCGATTTTTCAATCATTGCCTGAACTTGATCATTCTCTATCCCAAACTGGTGATGGTGTGTTGTAGGCTAGTATGATGATGTCTCGCCCTCTCACTTCAACAAATCATTATCATGGCTTTAGTTTAATCATTCAGAATGTCGCTCCCAAGTCTTTCAATTTAGATTGACTCCACCAGGGTTACATTCGTATCTATTAGCATGCAAGTGTCCCAAAGTTATAAGGAGCTGCCAGCATTATTCACCCCGCTGGTTCCTCTATTCTCCGTATTATCCCATTATCTTCAGCATCCGTCACATCTCCATCTTCTCTCGACTCCACTGACAAGTCAAGGATCATTCATAGATGCTCCACCTCCGATTTCAACCTTGCGCTTTTGTCAATCAGCCACAATCACCCAGTCATTGAGATGATAACAGACTTAAAATCCTAGCCCGAATATTTTGAGAGTTCCAATGCAGCAAGGACTAAATTCCATTGTTCCATGCCTGTCTCTTCAGCCTCGTTGATCGACTTGCGGCGTGAAAGCAACAAATTCAACCTTGTGCTCAATCTACCAGCTGTCGATATCTGATTACCTTTCTTCAGTAAGTTGTCGAGTCCCTTCTTTATCTGGGTGCGTATTGTACAAAGCGCCCGTGGCGTAGGAATGTGGAAACATTCTATCACGCTTGTCCCCAAATAAAGCTCATGAATCCCTTGGAGTTATAAAGTGCAAACTATCGCAATGATCTCTTAGTTGGAGGTAACTATTAAGGGTTTCGAGATGAATTGCTCTAACTTTTGCCAAGTAGTCGGCCGTTCTGTCAGATTATTTGAAGTAAGCGAGCAGTGCCTCGAGCTGACAATTTGAGGTCGAAACCAGATTACCACTCCCTCTTTGACTTGATTGAGACCTTCTCATATGACGAAGAACTCTAGTGAAAATCCTGACCAGTTTTATCATTGTATCATGTTGGCCTTCTCAGCAAAGCAACGAACAGTGTCCCTTCTTCACTCTTCTACTTCCGTCGTCGAGAAAGGGCATCTAAATTGGGTGAGGGCCTAATTTGTTTGCAAACACAAATTATAAGAAAACTTTTCTGTACACGACGTGGCGTTTCTTTTTAGGAAAAGCGAGTAAACTTACAGGACGGTGAGTAACATTGCCAGGAGATAATATAGACTACATCCTTTCATTAGATGTTCTAGCCCCAATATCCATAGACTTCCCACGCTCAATGCTATATAAAACGTCAAGTCAGCTCCCGAAGTTTGAGACTCTTGGCGGATATAAATCGAACGATGCATAATCCCGATTGTTAGAAAATGTCGTCACTTCGATGTATAGTATCACTAGAAATCAATATCAGTACTGACGATGTACATGAAGGTATCACGCTGCATTGTTAAGGTAGAGTGATACAGTGAACCTTGGTTCTTGGATCTTTCCCAAGGGGTACAGTATGAAAGATTGGTAGATATGAAAGTGTATCAAGGAACTCAAATGAGGTTTATCTATAATCGACACAAAAACAAAAACCTGAGATCGAGAAAGATTTAGCGAAAGGTATTCAGGGCAAGAAATAAGAACATTGCTTCATTTTTCCACTTCGCATTTCGAGTTTGATACGTTCGTGTACAGTCTTGATAGTTACTAAAGCACTCTCGGAATTAAATCGCTTTGAATTCTCCCTCGATATCCACAATCTTTTCAACGGCTTTCTTATATCCCGCCTCATTTTCTAATCTTTCCGTGTAAGCAAAAAGTTCAGGGTATTTGTCCTTGGTTAACCCAGCGCGCTGTTTAGCTGCTACAAGAGGGAATGACATGAGGATGTCTGCACCGGTAAGATGTTCACCACAGAGATATTTTCCACCATTGGGAGAGCTCTGGATTTGTTCATTAAGAAAGGTAAAATGAGTGCTGAAATTTGGTTCCAGGTATGACTCGTGCACTTTTGAAGTTATCATGCCAGTAATAGGACGGATAAAAAAAGGAAGGTTGGGCGAATTAATCACTGGGGAGTTAGTAAAATTTGGGAATGCGAAAAGGAAGAACTTACTAGACATGATGAGGGCGACAAGGAGGGGAGGCATCAGAGAACCTTCGGCATAATGCATGTAGTAGCGGAAACGAGTCCATTCTTCGGTTTCGCCACCGAGTGTGTTTTCTTGACCAGGCTTCCAGCGGGCGGGGAGAAGGGTACTGCCGTGGGCGAAATGATCGAGGAGATATCTTTGGGGCGAGTTAGAGGTCATACTTGGAGGGAAATCTTTTGGGTTTTGGGCAGCTAGGGAAATGATCTCCAAAATTATCTTATGATTCAGATACCTCACGTCGAAATCCCAGGACTACTTGAACTCCTCTATTTTTCAAGTCCATTTCTAATTCCATATACACACCCCTCATCCAATTACTTCCCCCGTCAAGAAGAAGACAAACTTACTCAGTAATAAACGCACTCTCCGCCAAAACCACCGGTTCTGTGGCTCCCGCAGGTAAAATCGTAACGACGGGAGATTTTCCCAAGGCATGCACTTTTTTCAATTCAGGAGGTGCTTGTTTAGAGGGAAGTCTATGGATGATTTCTAGCTCGTAGGGGACTTTCAATTCTTCTAGAAGCCAGAGAATCCGTTGAGAGCGGGATTGGTTGAGCCTGAATTTGTTAGTTTGAAGGGAGAAATAGACCGGGATGGGATGGGGTAAGATGGATGGGGTAAAAGGGACAAGAGGTATGTGTATAGGAAAGGCAGGGAAAAGAAGAGGAGAACTGCTACCAGTAAAGCTTGATCTTTGGCTGATCGGACATGGAAGCTGGTGAAGACATGACTACTTGAGTATGTAGAATAGTTGTTATGAATAATATGAGATTGATATGACGATATATTCCCTAAAATCCTAATCGGAATAGATACACAAACACAAAGAAAAGAAATCAAACACACTCTCTCATTCCAATACTTTCACTAGATTCCCCTCCCATAAACAAGTTTATCTCATCTCACTACCGATTAGCTCACCTGAGCCCACCTCGGCACAATCGATAACCCATTGATAGATAAAATAAAATAAAAACTGGACCATCCCATCCGGCACGTCAATCAAGCGCATCATCGCTCCCAAATCTCAGCCGTGCGTGCGGATCATCGGCAAACGTTTTTCCGACGTCTGAGCTTTCAACCGCGATCCTCTATTCACATGAGGCTTAATGACTGGATTTCCAAAGCTTGAATCCAAGAGAAATAAACCACACAAGTGTTTCTCTCATCCTCGCAACTTTATTCACAATGGCTGGTCACGATCATGGTTTGTCTCTTCGCACTGTGGATATGGGATTGGACTAATGGTGGAAATGTAGTACTTGCGGTGGACCCCGCGTTGGTCAAATATAGCAGTACGTTCTTTCTGCAGCTGGGACGTCTGGCGCTTTACAATGGCGATGAGGAGATTGCGAGGGTGGGAAAGGAGGGAAGAAGGGAGACTGATAGAATGTAGATATGTCGACCAATCGCCACAAGTATTTCCGATGGACGGGTCGCACGGCCGCTATTTCGTTTGTCTTTGCAGCGGTCATTCCGAGTATCGTTGGGTATATGGCTATCAAGACTGAAGTAAGATATTTCGATACCATGGGCAGGTTGTGGATTAAGGGGTGGAGAATTGGAAAGCTAATGTGAGGATAGGGAAAATGGGATATGAGAGGAAAGCGCAGGGGTGATACGATTGCGGAATTCTAGATGGCGATGAAAGGGGGGGAGAAGAGTATGGGGCAAAGGTCGAATGTGGGGAGTTGTACATATGTGGAGGGAGATATCATGAGAGGCTATGGAATAAGAGAGAGCTATGAAATTGAGTTTGCATTCTTCACCATTGTCGTTTAATGCAAGGACATTTGATATGGGTATTGATTTTACTCGGATTTTGGTAATTTTTGATATACCTTTTGCAGGACTGACCTAATATGTTTCTAAGAGACGAACCGATTACCGCCCATCCGTTGTTGATACTCTGATTAAAATGCTTAAAGAGTTGAGATGATATTGGAGAAATTAGAGCACTCGCTTCCGATAAATCGTGGATGATTTGAGAAGAGATCATGTAGTGTTCCAAGGAAATTCGGTACCGTCATTCGTAATAGCATGGTGATTGGTATCATATGTCTTCGTGCCTCCCTCAATATCGACCTCTTCCACCCCCAAAACCACCTCCTCCTCCATACCCGCGACCTCTTCCCGATGGACCATCTGGTATCCTCTCACCTCGTCTCCATTCACCCATTGGTACACCACCCGCTCCTCCTTGACCCGTACCTTGACCAAATCCTCCTCCTCTTGAACCCCCCCTGCCTCTATATCCACCTCCAAATCCATTTTCTCTCGGTCCCATCCCCCCTCTTCCCCCAAACCCACCCATTTCCGATCTTCCACCCGCAAAGCCGCCTCTCGAAGGACCACTGGGTGGCGGTGCAACTCCTCCATCTGCCATCGGTGGTAGAATTGCGCAACAAACATAATCACCAATAACAAATCTTGCATCCTGCAGCGTCTTCTCTGGTTCTCCCATCAAACTCCCCGCCATGATTCCTTCTCCGACTATCGCACTCTCTTCCTCATCTGGTAAAATTCCCGGCCCCCCTTCCCCAATAACAACACTGCCAAGCTCCTTCGTTACATATCTAGCGGGTCCACTAACAGCAGGTCGTGAATCAGGAAATATCAGTCGATATGAAAGACGAGTTCCAATCGCCGGATCGGGAAGAAGATCAGGCAGCGCGGTGGCTAGTAAATGTGATAATTCGCGCAGAGTACATGATTGCCATGTAGATATATTAACGTGAAGAGGCAATTCACCATGTGGATTAAATTCTTCAATTCTATTGTCACATTAGAAAGAATACAAATAGATATTATGGGAAGGCTGAGATTTGCTTGCCTACCTGGGAAATGAACCGCTTTTGTAGAAAAGCTTGAGATGAAATGGAACGGTAGTATTGCGATCAACTTTTGTTAGAGTAGTGGTTGCCATATTTATGTCATGAGCTAGGATAGCTACGATACTTTTAGAGGAAGGATGTTGGGGGAGGATAACTTTGAGGTGAGAAGTTCTCGAGGCAGAATCGAGGCCTCGTCAAAAAATGTTCAGCCTTGGGCTTTGTACACTTTCTGTAATCTGACGACAACATCTTCTCTATACCCAGGTAATCAACAATTCAATCTCTCGCTCAAATTTCTCAATTGATCAAATCTGGAAAGATAGAACAACGAAAAAAACGTTTATCATAGTTATAAATCACCAATTTAATTGCCATAAATACAATCATCTGCGGCGCATACCATCATAACCGCCATCATGGATTTCGCATCTCTCATGTCTAAAGAGATATCCAAAAAGAGCGAATCTTCCACCGATACTTCTAAGAAATACATGAAACGATCTGAAATTGAAGCGGAACGACAGGCCAAATACCTCGCCGAACAACGCGCGATTGAAGCAGAGCGTGAAGCCAAATTGGCACAAAAGCGCAAACGCGAAGACGAAGAAGAAGAAGCTGCTAAAGCGCGAGAAGAAAAGCGCAGGAGATTAGCTGAGGAATCTAGGAAACAGAGGGAGGAAAGAGAAGCCGAAGAAGAAAGAAAGAGAAGAAAAAGATTAGGATTGCCGGAATTGGTTAAAGAGGAAGTGGAGGAAGTGGTGGAAGATGATATTCCGGATGAGGAGTTAGTGTTGAAATTACGGGAAATGGGACACCCTGCGAAACTTTTTGCGGAAAGCCATAAACAGAGATTGAGGAGGTATAGGAAATTGGGGGTGGTTATGACGACGGGACCGATTCCTACGACGTTGGTTTTGGTCGAGGAAAAGGATATGAAGGTTGAGGATGTACCGAAGGATGAGGAGGGGAGGAAATATCTGTTTAGACAGTTGGCGAGTTATTTTACGATGGTTTTGCAGGAGTGGGAACATGCGTTGGAGAAAGAGAAGAGGGATACGTTTGCTAGTAAGGCGGCTTATAATGCTATGGTGCAGAGTAAAGACAACATGACTCCTGTAAGTTTTCTTTCGTATAACTATCTATGTTATAGAACTTAAAACTGACGATCTATAGCTCTTTCGCAAATTCGAAAAAGGAGATCTAGATGAGGATATTCTAGGCCCTGTGGTTGAAATCGTCAAAGCAGCGCAGGAAAAACGATACGTCGATGCAAATGATGGGTATCTACGTCTTAGTATTGGAAAGGCTGCATGGCCAATCGGTGTGACGATGGTGGGTATTCACGAGCGTAGTGCGCGCGAGAAATTGCATGAGACTGATAAGGGACATGTGATGGGAGATGAAATTACGAGAAAGTTTTTGCAGAGTATTAAGAGGTGTCTCAGTTTTGCTCAAGTTAGATGGCCTCCGGAGGACATTAGACAATTGATGGGTTAGGAAGATAGATATGTTGTAGAGCTTGAGCCTCGAGGAAGGTCACAATGGGTTTCCCATCTGTGTCTTCGATTCTACGTCCCCTTCGGGCTTCAAAACGCTGGTGCAGCACACCTTAATTTAAATTATTACTGTATTTTGATGCTTACTTTGTTGTTGTTTTTGCTTTGATAACGAGGATTTGTGTTGTGTTTATTAGCTCTATTTATTGGTACTTCAAATTCCAAAGCAAGGCCCTTTAGTTTTCAGCCGATTCTATTCTGAGTTTCGAGTATATACTAATGTACCACCACCGGATAATACTTCAAATAGTCGGGGATGAAAGGCTCCTACGAATACTAAATAGTGAAAGATCGCGTTTAGCGAGAGGTTAGAAGGGGGGATAGTGAGTAAGTCCTAGTGTATGGCAACCCATCATTAAAGCAATGAAATATTTCAGTTACATCGCATACAAGAGTCCCGGAAAATCGGAGTCATGTTTTAGTGAAGGGTAGTTTATAGATCATAAATCTTCGCTGCTTCAAATTAGTCCAATCGCTAATTCAAGATGCCTAGATGCGTATTATACTGGCAAAAATGAGATTGTGAGTGTCTGAAGGCGATTTTGTTTTCATGATCCCAGTAGATGCTAGTATATCACAGATGCGTAGGTATATACAAACTCGTAAAGGCAATTTGAAAGACCTAGGGATTTGCGTCTAGAGACTCAGGCTCAAAGGACTTCGGGCCGCCATAGCGGATGACGTTAATGAATCTTGACCGAAATATATGATAAGAAATGAAGTTTCTTGCATATCTACAGATGATCATTGCGGAATTTCAATACACTCGCGAAGTAGTATGCAATGTTCAAACGGCAACACTTACAACACCTGGTATACGTAAATATTAATCACTTCCCTCATGATTTAGACTGCTAGAAGTGCCCCTTTTGATGAATGGATCCTGGCTTTTCGTAATTCTTATGCTACCCATGATGGATAGGCTGCCTTGGGGCGTTTGATATTCCTAATATACGGGGAGCTTGTGTTAAAATCTTCTCATCGTGCGTTGTATGATGCTATGCCTTACGAGTCACCTATTTCATCTACTTCACCATGACGAATTCGCTTAAGGACTCAAATGACACCAGATGACGACCCAAAGATTACTCAGATCATCATTGTTGCATATCGCATCTCGAGTCATGAATGATAATATAGACATTGAAATCTGAAGATTTGACGACATATACCAGGACTAAAATAATCATCATTGCAATTATACAATATCAACGAAGAAAGAGATAACGACAAAGACGGAATGAGATCAAAATTCACGGTTCTATTGGTAGTCTCAGCTAGATTGCGGAGTGTATCTTGACTTCCCAAGGAAACTTTAACCCCCCGTTCAAAACTACCATGATGGAAGAAACCTCCTATTCCTTCTATTCCTGCTTTCAATCTTCCTCAAAGGAACTTTCGTTCCGACAGGCAAGCAACAAAACTCTCTGCCGAAATAATCCTAAAGCCCCATTCGTCCCTTTAGAATTCCCTATTCGATGTCTAGAACAAAGAATCTCTTTGTCTTAACTGAACAGGTGGGAAACATGTTTCAGATGTTAGATGTGCAACAAAACTCAATTTGCATATTTTTCTTTGTTTAGACAAAAAGTGAAAGAGAGTTTTGGGAATAGTAGATTTCGGGAATTTACATAGTCTAGCGATGGTCAAAGATTCTCAGCTCGTCTATCGCACGTTTAAACCTGCATGGAGAAGCGAAGCTCTTTGTTGAAAACCCAGTGACCTGCACCCAAAAGATTTTCGATTGGTAGATTGAAGTTCCTCACACAAAGAATCGAGAGGTTGGAACCTTTTGTTGCATATCTGAAATCGAGCGCAAGTTGAAGAAACATACCTAGGTACATATTTACACAATACTGCTCAAACTACCTACTCGAGCAATTCAGCCGTGCACTAACAACTCGCCTGAAAAGTTAGATTCTGGAAGAAAATTCTGACTAGCCCATTCACTTACTAGCAGATGCCCGAAGAAACTTTCTTTCTGCAAAATTATTTGTATGCACTTCTTCGCATTAGATATATTGTGTACACGCCTTGCCTCTAGTAACGAGCATACCCAGGTAGTATTTCGACCTACGATAACATTGCATTGGAATATACGATTGCCAATGTGTTACTTTCATGACGTCAAGGAAGATCTCATTTTATGTTAAGCTTGTTTGTGTGTCAAACGACAGAAAATTTTGGGTGATTGCATTATATACTTACAACATTAATTCTGGTCATCAAATCACCAGGCACTTTGGCGGAGTGGTTAACGCGATGCCCTGCTATTGTTTAGAACAAAGTCAGGCATTTCCTTCGGGAGCGAGTGTTCGAATCACTCAGGTGTCGTCTTTTGCCGTTTTTGACCTTTTGAAGTCGAGGGAATTTTTATATGTTCAATCATTCTTATTAGCTGCGGATAATTTAATAAGATCTTCCTTTTGGATGGA